ATGTGAGATACACAGATTTTTATTCAAAGTTGGATGAGAGAAAAATTTTTAGTTAAATTACAATGACTTCTGCATCCACAGACATGATATACTTAGAGCGTTTCTCCTTTATTTAAAGAGTCTAAGGTAGATAACGTTTGAAAAGTTGGTCTCAGTAAGTTTTATCCATATTTAGGGTTAAACACAGACGCGCGTCATTGATTTGTATGCAAACTGTTCATTCTATTGCCACAAACGTAGATAGTTAAACTTAGTGTGGTGTAGAGTAAATTTACCAAGATGTGTGTTACCGAAATTTTGCAGTGGAATCTTACTTCCACTGGCCCAAATCAGTGAGTTATAAGACGAAGTAGCAAAGTGCTTCCACTGAGAACCAATTAATACTCACTGATTATCCTCATTGTTCCTTTTGCCGATTCAAGAAGCAAAATTTTTACTGACTCACTTTAGGAGAGTAAATGACTATTTACTCAGGCTATTGATGCAGGCCTAAGTATTTCACGTGAGACAACTTTCAAATGACTGTTAATTAACACGCATCATAGCGATAAAGTTATCGCGTTTCAAGATTTGAATTTGAGCTCTTAACGATCGATTCGATTGTGTTGAACATTTTGAATTTATTACTCGCGGACTAACAAACATCGAGACGATACGTAACGCGTGTACAAATTCAATATTCAATATTTAATATTCAAATACACGGAGAAAAAAGATTTGATTTTATTAGCGTGAAGTTTATTTTCAATAAATGAACCGACGCGTTTTTGAGCGAAGGATACAGAATTTCTGTGTGTGTGAGATTCTTATGACCAGCTTTGGTTTAAAGCTATATTAATGTTAATCTTTTGTTTTATTAAGTTATGTTATTAATCTATCTTAATAGTCGTTCAAACTTCTCTCAAATGAAATACTCAAATTTGAGTTTAGAATTAGATAAAAGTTTCTCAATTGAGTCATGATTACAGGTATGTCACGTATATCATATGATTCAACTGAGAGAAAAACTTGTATCTAATTCCGAATAAAAATCTCGCGTGAGACAAACTTCACGTAGCGACTATTGACACAATTGTTAATATAATCAAACCCTCTTCTCCGCGTGATAAGTATCAACGAGTTATCCCCGTAGTTGCGTCGTCTGTTCTCCACCCTCGCCGACTTTTCCAGCAGTTTTGACTTTTGAAGTAGCAGGGATTACGCGCGAAGGAAACTCGAGCAACTGTTGCGACACGGCTAATTACAGCGAAATTACTCTCACCGAGTCGCGAACTGCTTCTCCGGCGTTTTGATCCCAAGGAATCCCACTGTGCACAGCTCGTCGTAGCTCTTCGCGAGGGTAGAGTAAACGTTCAACATGACGGTTTGTCGCGTTGGCGAGTTATCGTGCTTTACTTCCGAAGTATCGGTCGCGCGCATTTGTATTTAGACGTATGAAGGTAGTATTAATTATAATAATAATAGTAATAGTTGTGTCACAATCTAAACATGAGACGACGTGCCTCTCTCCGCGAGATATGAGCATAGGTCGTTGCGTATCATGTGAATAATTGATTCCGTTCGACATGCTCCCGTTCTTGCCACTCGAGAACATAATTTCAGTTTTTGTCGATGTCAAATACATCATGGATTTGTGTCACATATACATTATACGCAAATGCGCTCTTGCATGCGACGCAATATCGATATGATATAAATCAATCTTGGCCTGCAAGAAAAATTTCTTTTGTATGGTTTCTTTTGTATGGTGGCAGAAAAAAGAAACATTTGTAAAAACCATTTTACGTAACTATACTAGAACATTCGATATCCAAGCATATATATTTAAAATCGATATTTAAGCTTTATATGTACAC